GGATTTTAAATCCTCACCATGATAGTGTTAATATAAATACCAAGAATTATAAATTCAAATCATGTATTAATATTAACACCAACCCGATAAGAAATATAAAAATCGCTTGATGTTAAATTCACACCGATTTTTGTAGAGCGTATTGATTAAAGATTATGAGAGCGAGTGTAGCAGAATAGACAGTGCACTGATCTGTTGTGCTAAAGATCTCGGGTTTGATTTCCGGTAAAACCAAAATATTTTCATACACTCGTTGTCCTTTCGAAAGGAAGCGGCAACTCGAGAGTATCCTTGTCAAGAAAACATTTCTCTAAACAAAAATTTCGTCGTTCGGAATCGACGTTAAACTATAGATCCCATATGAACCATGTACGAAATCACGAATTCGTCAAAAACGGATAGTAACTTTCTATCTGGAAATATAAGTTTGTGCAGCTTTTTTTCAGTAAAGAACAAAGTCGTGTTCTTTCTCCTTCGTTTCGTGTAATATGTATAACTTTATAAGAAACTCACACAAATATTTCTGAATGAAATTATTATACCAAGACAGTGTTGCGAGCCTGTTATTTTCATAAATATTACTCGAATTTAACCAATTAATTTTGATTTTATGTCATTTCTAAAGTCTACTTTTAAAATGAGCTATAGAATGCGTTAAGCTCAGTTGAGCGTGGTTTCAGCTAACGTTTCAACTGAAAATTCTTCATTGCTTTAGATAACGATTTCTATCTCATTCCGATATCCTAATGTATGATAGAAGCGACGCTATCGTTTTTTTCATTATCGCGTTACCAAGAATAAACACATCAGTTTTCTTTCCCGTTTTGTAACCTATAAGTCAATTAAATTGAACTGTGCTATCTTTAAATGTCGCCTTCTCGTGTATAAATAATTATTGCATATAACATAATACATTTATATCATGTGATGTTCGACTTAAATTTTCGTTCCTTGCATATTTTTCGTGTGTGGATTTATTATATTATCATCAATAGTGATTTATACACATTGTTTTTTTTTGTGAAAAAAATATGTCGATTTATTTATTAAACTTGACAGGATTTCTACATTTGACGATATGAGGAATTCGATTTGTTAACAATCTCAAAGCTACTCTATTTCTGTGAGGATATGTAACTTGTGACGAATTAAATAAACAAGCTTTATGAATTCTGAAGATAACTCACAGCTGTGGATTGAAATGTTTATCGAAATTATAATTTATGTATAATAAAGGTAAAAATTATTTTGGCACTAAGAAATGTTGAACGTTAATTTAACACAAAATATTCAAATAACACAATCATATTATGTTAAATTAGCATTCAAATATATTCTAAATTCAACACAAAAATTTTTACAAAAAAATTTTAACAAATACTAAATGTTCTATACTGTGTAATTTGTGTTCTGTACTGATAATCTATACCGATAATTGTGTTACAGACCGACGAGCTAATAAACGTGTATCGGATTTCGTTATCGTATTTTAATTGATCGATTTAATTGATCGAATTTAATCGATGAGATACTCTAGGGGACAATCTTGACACGGTGAGGCTAACAATTTGCTCGTTTGTTGCAGGTTCGTAGAACTCGCCGCCCTGTACTGAATACCAGTCCAATCGATCGGAAGAAAGGGGGAGTTCCTCTGAAGACGTGATACGTTGGTGCTCCGTATCCACGGTGGAAATAAGGATTTCCACCGCAACTCGCCGTTTCACATTCGCGCTCGCGTGTCTACATTCCCCTTTTTCCTTACCCTTATTTCGCTGTTCCCTTCCGTCATCGCGAGGCGATCTCTCGATAGCTGATAGATCGAATCCACGAGTTCTTTCTTCGTCGAGAGCGGGGCGAGGAGCAGGTGCGAGACGAAACGAGTCGTGTCGTGATATATCATCGCCAGGCACAATGGCTTGCGAATTCTTTAAGGTGAGTCTGTATTTCTTCATTTATGATAGATGACCTGTTTCGGAGAGAGAGAAAGCTCCGTGTTGCGAATACAATACATCGGTCATTACGAGTAAAACGGTTCTACACGCGGAAATCTACGAGATCTTACGTATATTTCGTATGTAACACGCTACGTGTTTGTACATAATGTACATATAGAGCTCATTTTCGTAATACCATGAAAAAGGCTGACGGTTGAATCATTATGTGAAAGTTTTAGAATACGAGTTGAAGGCACTAAGTTCGTAATTTGTCCTCTTTAAATATGAAGTTCTATCTGCGTCTGAGAGTCTCTGTAAAGTGGGCTTCATAATATATGGACTTCAATCTCCGCGGCGATCCTTGCACGAAAAGAATGATTTTGCTAAAGTATTGTATCTGAAAGTTTAGTTAGATGAAGATTTGAAAATATAATTATGTTGAATCATCGAAATAATTATACTGGACACTCAAATTTACTAGAATTTTACTAGAAATGTTATTAGAATGTCAAATTTTTTTGCAGAATTAGGATGAGAGAAAGTTATGAAACACCGTGTTATTTTATCGAAATAACTTAATAGATATTTATAACGTAACTACTTTTGATACAAGTTTGTTAACCATAGAATGATATATATTATATACTATAAGTAAAAGTTCTTGGAATATACAGAACGAACATAATTCACAAAAAACTGAAGAGAGAAAAAAGTTGTGGTTAAAGTTATGGAGAAGAGACATGACAGAATCCCACCAACTAATATATAGTATATAACTTTACACGTCGGATACATTAACACATTTTGTTACCAAGATAAGTTGAATTATATTTGAAAGCTACATTCAAAGAACTCCTGGCTAATTTGAAATTACAAAATTAATAACATACTTCTCAAAATTATATAAAAAGTATGTACACTGCATTCGTAAAATTGTTTACTATACGGAAAGAACGGTTTTGCTGAAGTATCTAAAAATTTAGCTAGACACAGATCTGAAAATAATTTTGTTGGTCTATCAAATTATTTACGTAATTTAAACTAATTGTTAGAATATGAAAATCTTTTACAGCATTGTTTATCATGCAGCATTACTTGAGTTTCCTACATAATTATTTTGATATGGTTCAACAAAATTGTTTTCAGATCTATATCTAGTTAAATTTTTAAATACTTCAGGAAAACACCGTTCATTCCTGCAAAATTGAAATGCAGCTTTTACGGTAATGCAATAAGTATTTACGACCATGTTATAACGTCTAAGCAGATTGTGAAGAAGTAATTTTGATGGTCGGGTTCCAAGAATGTACCACAAACTATACAAAATATCGTGGTATTTCATAATTCCTTATCTATTCCATGATCATCTTTTTCATTATTATACTTCAGCGTTCCACAAATTATTTTTATGGTTCAACATAATTACTTTCAGACCAATATCTAGCCTAACTTTTATATATTTCAGCAAAACCGTTCTTTCATCTTTCGCAAATGTTTCCGTATATCTTTGAATCCAAATCACCTACGAAGTATATTGCGGAATCAAGAATCTTTATTTACTCGCAATAACTGCTTATCCTGTTATTCGTATACGAAAAAAAAGGTTTTGCTTTAAAGTCCCTAAAAATTTAGTTAAATATGGATTCGAAAATAATGATGTTAAATTATGAAAATAATTATTTTATTTGGATCACTAAAATAATATATAGAGCGTTCAAATTAGTTGCTAGAATGTTGAACCTTTTTGCAACATTATCATCGACGTTTAAGCGTTCTTCATAATTATTTTGATGGTCCAACAAAATTATTTTTAGATTTGTATCTAATTAAATTTTCAGATTCTTCAGCAAAACCATTCTTTCCATGTAAAAATATCGCCTTTTTCCTCTCAAAACACTCGAGGGTACTATTTGATATTGCGCGGCGTGCAATCGGAACGTCTAGAAAATCGAGGCGTTTCTATACATTCAAGTTAATTGCCGAGGTGCAATTCTTAGGATGGTGGTCGCCTCGTTTGTGATTCTCCTGTAGGCGACAACCGTTCGCGGCTCCCGTTTCCTCGTCACTGCAAGTCACTTAGCGGCCGTCCGAATGTGATGAGTTTAGTTTTGTTTGCGTCTACATCCCTACGGATGGGGGACAACTTCCTCTCCGTCGGGATCGTACTTTGGAAGGCAAACGGGGTATCATTTCAGTTATCCTTTACTTTGCTCGACGTCTCATATTATTAGTAACGCGAGCGAAAGTTGCTCGCAGGCAACAGCAGCAACAGCAACAGCAATATAGCAGCACGTGCTGCTGCATATTTTGTATATGCGCATTGCCGCGCGTAAATTCTCCGTGAATTATTTCTTGGCGTCGTCTGGTGTCGCAGACGACCGTTGCCACGGGTGCACATATCTCCTGAAATATCTTTTATTAATTAATACGCGCGTGCCCACCGGATGCGTTACAGATGTGCTCTGCGAGATTTAATTTTGAGGAGAGCAGCAACGCCGACTGGACTCGACATTTTGCCAATTAGCGAGGTATCGCTATCATCGAGATATTCCGTATCACATTGCTCTTTACAGCGCGCTACGAATACGTGCAGATCAATGCTACCGCGGATACTGTTTTTTTTTGCTGTATCGCGCGTTTTGTTGACTCCGTAAAAGTCTGTATTATAATTTTGAATAATCGCAGACAAGCGACCGTTGCGAGTCACAAAAGAGTCGCCACCGGCAATGTATATAAAGTCGTTAATTATCGCACCGGGCACCGGGCGGCGGGCGTACGAACGAAAACGAGAACGGTAAAAGAGTAGAGGAAAGAGAGCGCGCTCGAGAGAGCCACTCTGTCATCGGGTCCCATCTCTTTGGTTCCATCGCAGCTTGAACGATGGCCGATTCACGCGGCTTCAAGCCAATAAACCAGTTGTGGCAGAGCGCGACAGTGTCG